TTAATCTGGATTTCCTACTTCTCTTAGGGGGAAAAAAAAATTAGATGATCTGGCAACATAAACTATATTCCCACACGATGACTGGAGCTGCTTATGACTGGCTGCTTAAATGGGACATTTGCACTCCAATTTGTCGTTGTCCACATGGTCCCATTTAGCCAATAACTAAGTGGCCCTGGAGACATTTGAGTAGCCATTCCCCCTATAATGCAGTAAGACCAATCCTGTAAGGCTTGTGAAAGCAATCTTATTCTTGGTAACATTACTTAAACATCAAATTGCAGTGTCCTACATTAATGAAGGCAAGTAGCCCATTTCAAGAGACAAATTAAATCCCCAGTAACAATTTTTTCAGTACGCTGTATGTACATAATTTTCCAAAGGACTTTTAAATCTACTCTCATTTCTCGTAAAACTCTTGAAAAATCAGAACAGAAGCTTATACACAGTAAATGCTGCCAATACTAAGCACCAACTTGGAAATCACTAATTTACAAGTATGGTCCTTGATGGAGGAATATTTAATCCATCCAGAAATAATCATTCACATAAAGCACTTGAGGCGTTCTTGCCTATTTGGTTAAAAAAAAGAAAAAAAAAAAAAAAACTAAATATAGCAATAATACATTTCTTAGTGAAAAATCATATACCAATGTTTCCACAAAACCACACAGAATTACAAAGGCAAAGTAAAGCAATCACTGATAGCTGTCGTTTCCCCTCCCTACACTTACTAACATTTAAATGTCATTCCAGAAACATATTCTGAAAAACAAACTTTTAAAAATCTAAAACCTGAAAAATTTCCATAAGCTGACCATTTGACTTCCAAAAGCTAATTTAGAATAAGCTTCATTCCAGTTGGTAATTAAGATTCTGATGTGAAACAAGTATTTTCAGAAAATAATATTAATAGAAAAACCATAAACTTTAACATAGGAACCTGGAGAAAGCTTTTATGGAAAAACTGAAAGAGCAAAACACAATTCATCACAGCCCACCACTGTGTACAGATGACACCAGCCTGGTGGTCACTAAGGTCACACACACTGGCTCAATACCTTTATTTCTATGTATTTCCTGATATAATCAACTTGAGCACTACTCATCTTTTACTCTGTGACTGATTTTAGACAAATTGACAATTCACCTCTTCATTAATTTTTTCTGAGAATTTCAGTTGCTCTAATCCATCAATATAGCTAAACATTATGATCCTTTATCTCCTAAAGTACTACATTGAGATTCTGGTTTATCATCATGATATATTTAAGCAGAACTGCCTATTCAAAGTGACCTTAAAAAAACTCCCTACTTTTCTACTGCAAATATTGGCTGAGATGACATTTTCTCAAGCCTGTCTTTTAATTAGCAGTAATGATATGAATGAATTACTTTAGAAACCAAAGGTTTCTTAGTTGATTCTCCCTCATCAGAGATATTCGCAAATATATTCCACATAAACTTCTCTGGAATTAAAAAAAAAAAAGTCACAAGCATTATACTACATCCACTGGAGGGCACTCAACATGACCCAAGCATGGAATGAACCTGCTCCAACACTACTTACTCTGCTGCTTCAGGCTCAAAGGGAAACTCTGAGAGTGGGGAATGTCTCTTAACGAAAGAGATGACCATAAGTTTAAAAAAAAAAGGTGGCTAAACCCTAAAAATGAGTTCCCAACGTGATTGACTTTATCTTTCAAGAGCTGCTTTTTCCTTAGGGAGGAAGCAATTACATGCATACCTCAAGGACAGCAGGGTTCAGGCCTCAACAGATAGCCTAGGTTTCAAACTGAGTCAAGCTCAGCCCTGCATGAAACACAAAGCAGCACTCTTAAGTAAACGGAGGAAATAAGTAACTTTCTCCTAAGTTTAAGTGATGAAAAACTATAGAAGTTAACTCCTACTCTTTTCAATCAACACAATCATTTATTTTCCTTTTGTGAAACCTGAGAAGTATGTATTTATTTTAACCGATTGGCCCACTTACCTATCACAATCACAACTGCAACATTATATAGTCTGTTAAAGAAGGATAACTGAACCTGCCTGCACGTCAGTATCTTCTCAATGAGGGTATAGGAGGCAATGGCTAAATACGATGGACGAATCAGAAGCACTCCTGGGCTCTGTTTACTATTTACTTTTACAGTATAAGAATGTTCTCAGTCAAGCAGTTTCAACAGTAGATACCACAGTTCCAATAAAAAGAGGACTACAAGAAAACAACGAAGTTAACACAGTATTTCCAAAAACAATGTCGCAAATCAACTCGCCACATTACAGAAGAGTTAGACGTTTGTCCAATTCTGAAAGCCTTCATTCTTTGTGACCTGGGTTGGCAGTCAAGCATGCTTCCTACTAGGCTCAAAGTACAAACTTAAAATTTACCACCTACTCATCTACCATTATTGGTTATCAGCAGCTAGGAAACCACCAAAGAGAAATAAAATAATCTTGTAACAGGACAGACGTGTTATTTCATTTCAATAACACTGAAGTTTCATTTAACTGAATATGTAGTCTGTTGCAGGAGTTGTAATTTCACTGCTACTTATAGTAACAAAATAATGATATTGAAACTGTGAATTCTCCACATCCCTAGTTTCAACAATATTTAGCATGCACCTCTCCCCACCACGCCCTATAACAAAAAAGGGTATCTATGACAGTTTTTGGTAACACATTTCAAAATACTCTTAAAGAAACTTGCCTCCTCATTTTCTATCTTGGTGGCGATGTTATGAAAACAAGCACAGAGACCCTCATTTATGCCAATTTTTATCCAGTCATCAGGAACAGTAAGAAGCTCAATCTGATAGATTTTAATATTGGCAATACACTTTTCTATATCATCATCTTGGTAAAGGAAATAATCCAGTAACAGTTTTAAAAACCCCTCGATACTCTGAAACCTGAACACTGTTAAATGCTTCATTTTTTATTAGCCGCCTTATTTTTTTTTTAAGTTGTTTTCTCCTGAAAACTTTTAAATGGTTGCTCTGGTCTGTGGGAGACTCACGACTCCTGAGGACTCTAAAGTTACGTGCTATACTAAGCTCTCTAGCACAGGTTTTTACTTCTCCCCACTCCCAGGACTTCAGACTTGAATAGTTTCAGCATTCCTTTAATCCTACAGAAAAGACTTCTGAAAGTTTTTCAAGTTATTGTTGCAATAATCTCAGGGCCTTGTCCTTGTACATGGCCTTCAGAACAAAGGTTAGGTCAAATTAATGAATATTGGGCGCAAATTAACTAAATTTTGTCTGGTGTGAAAGGACATCCTCAAACCCTTAAAGGTACTTTTTTTTAATCAGAGATTTTTCAAAGATTTAAATATAAAAGTAAAATAAATGTCGCAGCAGCCTTAGTTCAAACGAAACGACTCCAAAGTAGAAATTTATGTCAACAATTTAAGCGGATAGTAATATAAATAACACTTCAGGCTATATTTACTATTTCTCAGGATGAATACAAATCGATCGACACGAAGACATCTGAAGGTACTGAATGTTCGTTCACCAAGTGACAAACACTGAAATGGCTTCCTAAATTCCAGACAAACTACTTTACAACTTAGCGATCTGAAAAACATTAGCGTAGACATTACCAAAGGAAATGCTGCCGTCCCTTCAAGCCTAAGCCACCATTATTCACGATACAAAGCTCTCATTGCACTAAAACCACTCCTCGATTTCCTTTTGCCGACCTCTGCATACCAGCAGCCTGGTCTTTCTTCATTCACCACTCACAAACTCGAGGGGTGGGGGGCCGGGGACGGGGGAGACCACAGATGTCTGCAAGATACAAAGTATGAGACAATGTCCCTCCACAAGGGAACAGAACGAAGGGAACAACTACACCCAGTGCCAAAGCTTTCCAGCTTGGCAGATTCAGAAGCGGGCTATAGGAACTCAACTTCGAAAAGTCTCGGTTCAAAGTCCTCTCTCCAGACAAAACAGAGAAGTTTCAACTGCTTGAATTGCATTTGGCCGTTTTGCAAAGAAGGAAAAATTCGTTCACTCCGCTGAAAAGAAAACGTGCTCTAAAAATCAAGTTTAGCTGCCATCAAACTATTTGAATAAATTTAAATTATTTCAAACGAACAAAATCCTCGAAGCGGTCCGAGTCAGAGGCCGAATCCTGCAGTTTACGTGGTAACAAACAGTGAGCCATCACCTTCGCCCTTCCTCCACCCCCTTGTTTCACTAGGGTCTCATGCCCACTACCATAAACCCAGAAGACTCCCCTACTTTATCCACCGCTTTCACTCACCTGCACGGTACGCTAAAATAGTGCAAGACACGGATTTTCTACGTGCACACCCTACTGACGCATCGCACCGACCGCACTCAGAGTTTACTCTAAGGTTTAAAGTTGCTTCGATTCAAACTCACACAGGCAGGGCATTCCCAAAAATTAATAATAATAAAATTAACACTTCTATTCTTCCGAAATCTTAAGAGAAAGTCCACTCGGCGGATCCCCAGGACAGATGGGACTTAGGGTGGCGCTCCGGCCTGAGCCCCCGAACCCCAACTCGCCGCAGGAGCTGAAAAGGCGGAGCCCCCGGTCCCCACCCCGCCCCCCACCCCACCCCGGGCCCCAGCGCATCCCGAGGCACAGGGTCCCTCCCCCAAACTCGGCCAAGGCCGGAGCCCCGGACAGAAACCACAGACCCCCACCCCCACTCCCACCCGCCGGCCATCCGGGCTCCTGGACGCGACCCCGCGGCACCCCCTCCCTGCAAGCGATGCCCCCGGGGCCCCTGAGGGGCAGCGCGACCGGAACCCGGGCCCGGCCACCGCCCTCCGCGCCCCGGGCGCGTCCCGCCCCCGCCGTCCCCCACCCGAACCCCCGCTCCCCACCCCAGGCCTCCGGGCTGTGCCCGGCCCGGCTCCCAGCCCGCCGCCCGGACCGCGCGCCTGCGACGAAGTTTGGCTCCGAGAGGAAGCGGGAGCAGCCCCGGAAGGATAAGGAAAGGAGCGCCCAAGCACCTCAGGGGAACAGGCTCCTCCCGCCGCGGGAGTCCAACCGTCCTCGACCTGCGGTGGCGGCTCGGCGGGCACTGAGGCTGCTCGTCGGACCTTCCTCCGTCTCCGCCTCCCCTCGCTCTCCGCTCCCGGGGCCGGGCTACCGCGGCTGCCACAGACCGAGAGACTTAAAATGGCGCCGCACAAGGAGCTCTTATAAGTCGCGCGGAAGCCGCTGTATCCTGCCGCCGCCGGCACCGCGCGGAGCGTTCCGCCGCGCGAGGACACGGGGCGGGGCGCGAGAGGGCGGGGGAAAGTAGTCCCGCGCCGCCAGCCGTGCGCGGCCCGCCAGTGCGCCGCCGTGAGAGCGCCCCGGGTCGGGGCGGGGGCCGCGCTCGCCACGGACGCTCCCCACGGACGCTCCCCGGGCGCAGGCTGGCGGCTGCCTGCTGCGCGGGACCGGAGGGCGGCCCCGGAGGGCGCCGTGGTCTGCGTCGGGGAGGCCGGGCCCCTGCAGGCCTGGGTGAGGGAAGGTGGCCCCGTCTCCTCCCCCGTCCCAAGCCCGACGCCCCCGCCCCGCGCGTTTCCCGAGCCGGGAGAGCAGCTGCAGGACTCGGCGCGCCTTTCCCGCGGCCTGCGGAAGGTGGCTCCTCGGCCCCGGCCCTCGGGGGCCGCGCGGGGCGGGCGGGACGGGTCCTCGGAGGGCGGAAGTTCGGGGCGCTCCTGGGCGCCGCCGCCGCCGCTGCCCCGTCGCCAGTCTGCGGACTCCCGGCCCGGCGCGGGTGTCGGGGCCTTACGACCTTGCGGTCTGTGCCGCGCACTCCCTGCTGGACCTGGCTGGCAGCCCAGTCTCGCGGCACCCAGAGGCCCCCCACTGTCCGGATGGTGGGTCCCCCCCCCCCCAGCGGGCGGCTCAGCTTGAGTTTCGACCTGAATCACCGGGCCAAGCCGCCCTCGACCCCGCTCGCGAGGGCTGTGAACTCCCGGAGAATGGGCGCCAAGCCCGCAGTTCAACAAGTCCTTCTGAGTACCTACTGTGAGCAAGTAACTAGTGGAAATGGATTCGCTCCGGAGCACTGTCCATTAGCTTAATTATTATAGATTCCATTTTTATCTGGTTCCACTTGTCACTAGGTATCAATAGATTTATTTGTGGGGATTTTTTCTTTGGAGAAGAAGGTTTTTACGGTATTACTTGAGAAACCAAAGTATGTTTATAGAAAAAGCGATCGATTAGACAGCCTCTAATATTTTTAACTGACTTTAAAAACGTTTTTTAATTAATTTTGATAGGCTGAAAAATGTTTCCCATTGTAATGCAGCAAAATTGGCGTTTGTCAAAGCTGCAACAATTACGATCGCTTCACTTTCTCTATTCTATTGTTTGTGCTTATTTTTCCTCCAAAACATTGGAGAGAGTACAAAAAGCAGCAGTGAAAGTTACGTCTGTGCTTTTATCCCAGGACCGCAATTAATACATGCAAACAATAGGTCTTTACACATACATGCTGGCAGGAAACCCACTTACGTATTCACTCATGGAGGTAGGATATGTAGTTTAAGGCATAGCTCATGTTTCAGGGACAGCATATTCTTGAAATAACTTTTATTTTTGTCTTAAAGATATTTTACTATATAAATGGTAATGCCAACTGCCGTCTGTCACCATAGCACATGTGGGCCACTGCAGTGGAAAAAGTCCACACACTAAGATGACGTTCCGTGAGATCCATTGTCTAGAAAGACCTTCTCATTAGTATCTTTCCTTAGTAATTCTGTAGAATTAAGTATAGCTATTGGTTGTACTCACAATTCAAAGATTGAACCGAAAAAGGTATTTCATTAAAGCCATGTTTCTAATACAAACTCACAAGTATAAATGGCGTTTTCAGGTACTGAGTCCTAATTTTAATTGTCATTTGCAGAGTTAAGGAATATGCAATTGATTTGATTAAAGTCATACATTCAAAATCAGACGACAGATTCACCACTTTTGAAGGGTTTTTTTTTTAATGTTGTTTTCCTATATGCAGTTTTTTTGTTGTTGAATAAGGCACTCTTGAAATTGGCTAAGAAATATCTGCACCATTGGAAGATCTAAAGTAAAAAAACATTTCTATATTTCTGTTTCTGTGTTCCATTACCAAAATAATGGAATCATTTTTCTATAGTTTAAATACTTCAAATTTAGAATTCAGATTTTTAATCCGTATTGACACCATAAACAAATACATGTTATTAAAAAAAAAAAAGGTAAAATTTGCAACAATGCAACATGCTGTTTTTCCCATCATAATAAGTTCACTGAAGAATTACGGGTTGACTAGCATTAAAGCAAGTTAGTTAAACTTAGCATTGCTCCTAATTTTTATTTGCATGTTTCATAAGGCAGAAATTGTTCCAGTTGTCTCACCAAAAATATGAGCTGAATAACTTCTATGGAATGAAGACAAATACTATCATTAAACCAAAGCAAAATACAACATCAAAATACCTGAGTTTGGTGAAGTAAGAAATTTTGTTAAATAATTTTTTAAAAATTGACCTTGGACAATACATTTCATAAAAACAGTTGGTTATCTAAAAGCCTTTTCCTTCTAGAACCAGTCATCCTGGGTTTGACATAAATTAATTTTATGAAATGGCGACAGGCAAGTGGTTCTAATTTTTAAGCTGTGTTCTTAGAAACCAAGCGTCTCCAGCTAGTTTAAGAGAGAAGATATTTCTTGTCATGCTATCAGGCCACTGGCATATCAAGCAGTAGAAGACAGAACTTGAATGTAAGGCATCCCTTCCCTAAAACAGATGCTTTTGAATTACCTTTAAGAGAAAGAGAGAGAGAAAAAAAAGCAGCCCGGATTATTTCACACTTCAGACAGAAATATGAATCACGCCAGCGTTGTAAAGAAGGTTCGTTCACTTTTTGGATCCTTAACTCTATCAAATCCATTAATTAAACATTTATTGAGCACCTAAGACAATGAGCTTCCCTTAGAGAGAGGGAACCGATGACTGGCTCCTTTTGATTAGGTCTCTTAAATTAATGTAAAATTGTGACTGTGAACCCTATTTTAAGAGAAGCAGAAACCGTAGAAAACAAGCCGTGAAGCTAGGGTGTGGTCTCTCTCGGACTCTACATCCAAGTCCCCTTGGAAGGCTCCCCACCCAGCAGAAAGGTAAGAATAATATTCCATGCATTTAAAAACAATCCCAACTCTCTAAGAAGGCTTGTTAAGAATATTTCTTATGACGATGTAAAAACACTGGACAGCAATCCGGACCAGCTTCTCATTCAGCAGTTCATCAAGTGGGCTATTTATGGATTGGGACTTTTGATTTGTAATACTCATCTCAGGGTTCAGTGTTATCTTTTGATTTCTTTCCAGCTGAACAGGCTAAGTAGTTGTAAATACCTCTTGTCAGACTACATGGTTGGCTATTCTCGCACACAAGTAATCTAGGAACCCACTGGGCAAGTTCGGCGAAAAGCCGCTGTGGAAAGCCTGCAGCTGATGTACACTGCAGAGCGAGGGAGGGGCGCTGAAGGTGGCGGGAGGCAGTGGCCATGGTGGTTGCTGTGGCCTGGTCACTTCAGTTATGTCAGGAACACCCTACATGCTTGGAGGTATGTGTTCTCGAGGCCTTCACTGGTTTGCCATACTGATGAAGTATATTTTAATGGCTACCGTACAAAGTATGAAGGAGAAGCAATGGAGACTTCATCCATGATATGCAAAGAACATGAAGGTATGTATGTTTCTCAATGTTTCTAAGAACTCAGAAAAGAACCGCTGCATTTCTAAGAAATCATGCTTCGGAGACACACCCGCAACACACGCACACACACACACACACACACACACCCCTCTATTAAAAATTTCAAAATGGTTGCAGATATTTCATTCACAAGAAGGTTAAAGGCGTTTCCCATCGCAAGAAGGATTAACTTACCGGAGGATTCTGGGACTGCAGATGTATACTGCGGCAAAATCCTAAATTCACCGAAAAAAATCATTTCTGGACTCCAGCTGCTAAAAATAATAGAATTATAGCAAATCATGGATAAGATTAAAACAAGCCATTTTCACCTTCCAAAATGTTCAGGAAAAAAAATGATTCTTTTCTTTAAGTCATTTCTTAAACAATGCAAATTTTAAAGTAGCTTTTCCTTCCAGACCTCGCAGCGCCATGAAATCGATAATTTTTGATCTTTTGGTTAGTAGGCAACATGGTGAGCTATTGCAGGGACTGCAGGCAGCAGACATGTTCTTGTCAGCTAAAATTTTCATATTGTTTTTGAATCCATTGAGATTTGTAGATGTGATATCACCGGTTTTTTGTTTTAGCTTGCACTAGGCAATAAGGATGCAAACCCTCAGTTTATCGACATATACATGTCTATTGCTTTATATGTATTAAAAACAGGGAGTCTTACTGGATCTTAAACAAAAAATTATGTAAAAGGAGTGGCTGGTGTGATTATAATCCCATCATGCAGGGTCCACGGTTCCCATTTAGTGAAATTTCGCAGAGGGCAACTTCTTAAGAACATCCCTGCTGTGCAGAGTGAAAAGCATGAACAAACCAAAGACAGAATTCATCTGTGTTTATATTTTACAAACAATGAAAAACCTACTCTTTGTATGCCTTTTTTCCCCCACCTTATTATTTCATGAAAACTGCAGCTCTTTCCCCGCCCCCATCCAAACACTCACCACCCTAGCACCGCAGTATTCCGTCCTCTTTGCTTCTCCTTCGTCTTCTTTTTCGCTTTCACAAATTCTGCACGCGCCATCTTTGTGTGGGGTGATTCTTTGCTAATTTCACTTACCCATTCTCTTACAAATCAGTTCAGAAATAGAAAATTATAGTGCGCTTTGGGGCTTAATTTGCCTAAATTTCTTTCAGTCTCCCCTTCCGACATAGAAAAATGAAAACAACAAGGGGGGGGGGGAAGATGCCAAAAAAGAGAGAGAGAAAGAGATATTTCTATTATTGACATAACCTGTTGTATACAGTGGTAATAAAAAATATTATTAACATAATAGCAACAGCTGCAGCCTAAATAGAAGCTATGAGATAATTAATGTGCTACAACAAATTAATTCGCTGCAGGTGCTTCTGCTGTGAACTGAGTAACCCATGCCATATAAAGTCTAAATAC